CGAGCATTCTGGAAATCTCGGAGCCAAACCATTCAGGGGGGAATCGGTACCCCCTTGGTGAGGAATCGGTTCCCTCTAAGCAATCTGGAATTTTTGGCTTTGAAATGGTTCGAAATACTTTGAAAGATTATTTTGAAATTGTTTTAAGATTAAAACTTAATTTTAAACTTAAGTAAGGATTAAAAATGATTTTTGAAATATTTGGAGTAATGTTTTGATATTCGAATAATTTTATCGAATATACTTAGAAAATCATTTTGGAAAATCTTAAAATTCATTTAACTTAATTTGTTATATCGAAATATCAAAATGTTTTCAACAATCCTCCCACAACACGACCCACCCATGATGCCTCACCAGCCAATCTGTATCTATCTTGCCGCGTCTATCTAAGCTATGCAACTCGTCCATATTGCGAGGTGCTTCCCGAATTGGTTGAAAACAACCAAACTGCCAGAGCACGCGATCAGTGGAGTGCACTCGACGGTCGCATAACATATCAGAGGGACCATCGCCATCCAAACATCTGATGGACCCCTCAACTCAGGTGGGATCATCGACCTCACATCATCAGTAGAATATGGCACCCATTCAAACTAAAACAGATAATATATAATTTTTATCAAAATAATAATCTAATTATATAACTATAATCTAAAATCGATTTTTAAACATTAAAATTCATATTTGTGTGCCAGCCTTCTGATCGATTAGCACCCTATTTTTTTCTAAATCATCAGGTAGCTCCTGATGATTTTTCCTATCAATAGACCACCTATTCAAGGAAAAAAATTTGTTATACGCTGTATAAAACTATTAATATACAAAATTAGTTTTATAATTACCTCAGAAGTAGTGGAAATACGAATGGGTTCTTCACAACGGGATATAAAAAGGGCAATCGATACCATGCCCAAGACTGCAGCAGCAGGAGACATCCGCCGATAGCATTACACCTGTAGTCAGTGGCTCCACACATCTCCCTGTACAGCAAAGCCAAAACTGCCGAGCCCCAACTGAATGATCCGGCGAGAAGAAAGTTGCTAAGATGTCGCAATCACATGCAGTGAACTAGGTTGCACGATTTGTCCGGCATAAGGAACCCTCCTATCAGCTACAATATGCATGCCCGTGCATACATCTTAACCTCATCCTCAGAGGCGTCTGCGCTCAACTCCCGAAAATTGGCATCTAACCAATTAAACGGTATCCTACCTCCGATAAAATTTTCCGGGACACGTCCTAGACTATCCCGGCATAAAGTAGTCCAAGAACCGGAAGCTATCCCCGATATCACATCTCCATCCACCGGAAGCCCTAGGTGCATAGAAACATCCTCAAGCGTGATCATACACTCTCCGCACGGAAGATGGAATGTGTGGTTCTCCGGCCTCCACCGCTCTACTAAGGCAGAAATCAGGTCTGGCTCTATCCTACAGTGACCCTGATATCTACCTATGTAACCGAATCCAGCCTCTACTAAATACGGCAAGACACAGCTGAGTATCACTAACTTAAGATTCCTAATAAAATGATCTGATACACGGTCCTTCTCCTAAAAATAAATAATTACAAAAATTAATTCTTAATCTAATAATCATGCATTAAATAAATCAACTAATTATTACTAATAATTTAAATTAAATTAAAACGTTAAAATGTTACCGTATCAGCAAAATGTCGAGATATTTAATTCTTAATCTAATAATCATGCATTAAATAAATCAACTAATTATTACTAATAATTTAAATTAAATTAAAACGTTAAAATGTTACCGTATCAGCAAAGTGTCGAGATATTTAATTCTTAATCTAATAATCATGCATTAAATAAATCAACTAAATATTACTAATAATTTAAATTAAATTAAAACATTAAAATGTTACCGTATCAGCAAAGTGTAGAGATATATGATTTCCATCCGAGCGAAGTAGACTACCTTCCATTATATATCTGCAAAAGAATTATATTAGTAAAATATTAAATAAAGTAAAATACTTAAATAAATTATATACATAATAGTAAAAATATTATAAAATATACCTTAAAAGGGAGAGAATTTGAGAGAAATTTAGAGAATTTGAGAGAATTTGGTGTGATAAAAGTGATTGAGGATGGGGTATTTATAGGGAGGATTGGGGTGTGGAGCGGGTATTTAGGGGTATAGTGCGCCCCCTGCACCGCGCTATACCCCACGTGTCAGATACCTAGGTATAGCGCGGATCAGGGGGCGCGCTATACCCACGTGACACCAAATCACCGTATATCGCGGGGCAGGGGGCGCGCTATACCCACGTGACGCCAAATCAGCGTATAGCGCGGTTCAGGGGGCGCGCTTTACTGCTACGGATGTTAGATAAAAAAATATAATCTGACCGGTGTTAGATCGATAAATATACCGATAACTGGTGATTTATTGAGAAAAACATCATACTTTCAGCCGTTGTGGTCCCCCGTAACTAGAAACCAAACCATAAAATCATTAATAATGATTTTTTATTTATTTTTTATTTGGATAAATACAACCTTTTTTTATTTTTATTCAAATAACTTTATTTAAAATTTCAAAATTTTAATAATCATAAACTAATTAATCTAAATAAAATACTTCAAAAATATTAACAACTAACCGGTCTAGTGAGATGAGACATTAACATAGGCGAAGTTAGGAATTTTATAATATGGTGTCATAATTTTAAACTATAATATCTAAAGAAAGTCATATAAAATAATACATACTATTAAAATTTGATAAATTAATGTAAAATATAGCTAAATTCGACAAGCTATTAAAACAACAATCAAAGAAAATATACATACATACTAGGGGTGTTCATTTTTGGTTTTAATCGAATTTATGGATCGAACTGAATTAGTTCGGTTAAAACGGGACCGTTAAATTAGTTTGATCGGAGAATAATTTTTTCAATATTTCATGGTTAATTCGATTCAAAATTAATTAATTAATTGAATTAACCAAATTTGCTAAAAATATTAAATATTATATATATTATATATTAAATAAATATTTTAAGCTCAAATCTATTAAGACCCAATTATTTTTAATCACACTAGATCCATTACATTATCAAAATCTAATTAAATTTTGTACCAAATAAAAAAGATCTATATTAAATTTAAATTAATCTAATTAAAAATATATTAAAATATTTGAATATTCGGTCATCGATCGAATTAATCAAACTTTATTCAATTCAATTCGATTAACGGTTAAAAAATAATTAATTAAATTAATAAAAATTTGATTAGATTGGTGACCGAATTAAACGAATGAACACCTTAATACAATAGGTGTCATAACTTTTTTAGAAGATGTGTCATTTTCTTAATTTTATATTATATATAAGATTTATATAAAAAAGGAAAATTGGATTGGCTCCGCCAGTGGATAATAGATCCCTTAACTATGATCAGTGATTTAAATTATGGTGATTGTGAATAGAATAAATTGGGTTGGGAGGGTCATCATTGTCTATGCAATACTCAATCCGAATTGATTGATCAATAGAACGGATACCGATAGTTATACAAAAAAATACTACAAAAATTCATTATAAAAAAGATCATTAATCTAATTTACTTCGTTTTAAAAAATTAATATTTTTAAATACATTTTTAAAAAATAAACATAAAAAATCAAAAGAGGCGGAATGAAAACTCGTTGAGTTGATAATTATAAATTCATTTTAATCCGATTGAGTCGTCTACGACATATGTTGTCAATAAATTAATTTTTTTTAAATAAATATTATATTATAGTTACATGAGACTATTAGTTACTATATTTTTTATATCGTGTATTTTATTTTTTTAATTTTTTTAATTTAAATAATAATCTTTAATATTGTGACACATTTTTTTAATCTTGTAACACTCATTTTCTATACTATTGTGGCACAATTTTTATGATTTCTTTGTATGTTTTTCTCATACATTTGATGTCATTTTAGTAATTGCATAAAAACCATCACAATATTTATTTTTTGATTAGATTATCGGTGGTCGCATAAAGTTAGATCCTATTTTGGTAAAATGTTGTTTGTCAATATAATCAAAATTGTGTAACAAAACAACCTGTCAGATTGTTTGGTTCGTCATCATTTTTTTATCACTTCGTAAACCGTCTCATTCTACAGAGATAAGTAGTTTTTATCAAGATTATTGGATTTTGATATTGATTGTAATTTCAATAGAAGGTTTTGTTATTTTTGATATCTTTAAGTTTAATATTTTATTTTTATATAAATATTTTGGTAACTATTGTTTTCAATTTTTTATATATATTTTGATAGGTTATAGTTTTTATTCCTTCCGCTATTGATTAAATTAAATTAATTGTTAAAAAATATTAAAAGATATACTATAAAAAATTAACGAATATAAAATGATAACAAAATAAAACATATAATATAATAAAATTATAAACATCTAAAAGTTATATTTAGCTGTCAATTAAACCAAATATTTATCATGATCACAATAAAAAAAACAATATGTGCTACAATCTGGGTACAAAGAATCACATCAGTACAAGTAACGAAAAAAAAATACAGAAATAATAAGATCAAATGCACAACGATGAAGTAATTGTAACACTCACAATTGAATTCGATACCATTGAAGATAGTAAATACTAAAAGATCAATTGGTTTAAAGAAAGAGGAAAGAACATGAAAATCTTGGACTTTAATAATCAAATCAAATATTCCATATTATTATCAATTTGCTGCAGAATTTTAGTAGGATGGGATTGAATCCCCCACAAATGATACATATAAATAAACTCGAAAATCCCCCCAAAGAATTTCATCAACCTCATTCTCTGCTAAAAGTCTGTTTAAAATTGAATTTCGTTAGTAGAAACCAGTTCATTGAAAAAATCAACTCTGAGTAAAAAACTTGTTCAGTCTATCGTGTGATTGATTCCATATGCATTATTCTTTCTCTCTCCCCCTCTATCTCTGTAGGAAAAAAAACCCCAGAGATTAGATCAGAGCTTACAGTCTGTTTTGAATATTAAATGCAAAATCTTTTTCATTATTCTAAACTTACCAATCACTTGCTCTTTTCCGTCTCCCTAAATTCATCCCTTAAGTACTTTCTAAAAAAACCCGCCCCTCTCATTCATCTCTGTCTCAAATTTCTTTCGTTTTAGTTTCTGGGTTTTGTCAAAACCCACGAAACAGGGTTCTTATACTGTAAAAAAGGAAGATAAACTTGTAAAAAAAATGACAGTAGAGCGAATTGTTAGTGAAACGATGGATCAGTTTCCCATTGGCATGCGAGTTTTGGCCGTTGACGATGACCCAACTTGCCTTTTACTGCTAGAGACTCTGCTTCGTCGATGCCAGTACCATGGTTCCTTTTATTTTTACCCTAAATCTTCTCTTTTTATTTCTTTATACTAATGAGTTATTTTTCTGTTTATTAGTTGGTTTTCATTAAAATGAAATCTTTGTGAACTTTTACGGACTTCATTCATCACATTGCATTGTGAAAATCTGAAGATCTCATTTTTCGGTTTCTCTTCGATTCTGCAGTAGTTCTTAGACTCGGCTCTCTTTTTTTTTTTTTACTCTTCACGATTTGGTGATTTATTGCTATTTTAACAAAAAAAAAATCACGCCTTTGGATAATTTCCCCCGTTTTAGATTTGTTCGTATAATGATTCAGAGATTTATTGTGAAAGTGTGTATTTTGCAGTTACCACAACCAGTGAGGCTGTTACGGCATTGAAGATGTTGAGGGAAAATAAGAAGAGGTTTGACTTGGTTATCAGCGATGTTCATATGCCCGACATGGATGGTTTCAAGTTACTCGAGCTTGTGGGGCTTGAGATGGACCTGCCTGTCATAAGTAAGCTACTAATAATAACTCTCTGCTTTTTGTTTTTGCCTTCTTTAAATTCTAGATTTTGAACAATTTTTATTACAACTTTCATCATTTTGGTCATTCATGCTAAAAGGGAAAGTATTTTTTCAGGGGAAGTTGGATTTCGGATGCTTTTCATTAACTTAACATTGGTCGATTCAAAGTCTATTATAAAGTTGATACTTTATACGAGTTGCTGGATTTTTTTCAATTGATGATTTGATAAACTGCCTTCAGTGTTGTCTGCAAACGGTGATACCAAGCTTGTGATGAAAGGGATTACTCATGGAGCTTGTGATTATTTGCTGAAACCTGTTCGAATCGAGGAGCTAAAAAATATATGGCAACATGTAGTCCGGAGAAAGAATTTCGATAGGAAAGACCGGAATAATTCTGACAGCCAAGACAAGCCTCATGCCGATAGTGGTGAGGCTGCAGAGATGGGAAATGCTGATAACAATGTGAAGTTAAACAAAAAGCGGAAGGACCAGAATGAAGACGAGGATGACGACCATGATGAGAGTGGGCATGATAATGACGATCCCTCAACCCAAAAGAAACATCGCGTTGTTTGGTCAGTGGAGTTGCATCGCAAATTCGTTGCAGCGGTTAATCAGTTGGGCATTGAAAGTATGTTCATGACTTCTCAACTTTGGCTACATTTATGGCGCAACTATTATTGCTATCGATCTATTAATTTTCAAGTCTGTCCCTCGTTTTTAATGTATAATATTATCATTTCAGTGATTATCCTTGAATATTCTGATTCTGTGAGATGATATTGTCTTTCGAAACCTTGCATTATCGATTTATACGCTTTGGCATTTATTACAAATGTTTCACTGATTTTTTCAGTTCTAGGTCCTTTGGCTGCTTGTTTAATTTCACAGTGAAACCACTTGTGCATGAAACTTTTGGTTTTGACTTATTACACCTTATTGTAATGCAGAGGCTGTACCTAAAAAGATCCTTGAACTAATGAACGTTGAAAAGCTTACCAGAGAAAATGTTGCCAGCCATTTGCAGGCATTAATCCTTACCTTTTCTGCCATAGTTCCTATTATGAGTTCAAAAGTTACCAGGAAGCTAACTGTCGTCTTTTTGTTGTTGCAGAAATTTAGGCTTTACCTGAAAAGAATCAGCTGTATGGCAAACCAGCAAGCAAATGTGGCGGCAGCTTCAGGCACCGCAGATTCTTCCTATTTGCGGATGGGGCCTCTGAATGGACTTGGGAATTTCCATGCCTTGGCTGGAACCGATCACCTTCACAATGCAAGCTTTAGATCTTTCCCACCTAGTGGGGTGCTTGGAAGATTGAACACACCTGCTGGGCTAGGAATACGTGGCCTACCTTCTCCGGGAACTATTCAATTATGTCATGTCCAAGACTCGGGTCATTCCATTAATGATCCAAGCAAGTTGCAATCTTTTGTTCCTGGAAACCATAATGCTAACATCCTACAGGGTATGCCAATGTCGCTAGAGCTTGATCGACTACAAAATAACAAGGGTGTTAGCCACCTTAGAGAGCTGCCGACTGCCAATAGTACGAGTGTTTTCCCTGTTTCTGGCAGTTTAATGGATGCACAGATAACTGGATTCTCCAATAATCCGCTTCTTGGTGTTACAAGCAACTCCTTGATGTTAGAAGGAAGCTCTCAGCAATCTGCTTTGCATGCTAGTAATTTGAGAGATGGTGTTTCTGCAATAGGCTTCCAAAATGGGAATACTTCATCTGAATTTGCTTCAATAGATCATGTTTCCAATCAATTGCGGGATTCAAAAGCAGATTTACAGGGACAAGCAGCCTCGATCAACTGTAATGCAGGGCAAATAATGAGAAGTGTTCCTCAAGAATGGAATGCCCCCAGAAAAGATGCCCCCTACCAGTCACATCTTATGCCTTGTTCAGTAAACTCTTCAATCCCTTCTAACGGTGCTATGGTTCAGTTGGACCAGTGCTTGGACCAAAATAATTCAATTTTCCACAGAACTATGGATTCGGATTCTATTGGACCATTGAATCTTGTTGATCTCTTATCGATCAAGCATGTTGAAGCTCACAACTCAGCCATGGAGCCATCAGTTATTGAAAAGGAAAGGTATCTCATGTACCAATCAAGGCCACAGGGAAATCACATTCTTGATAGCGTTGGCTCGTTGGAAGATCTGGCAAGTGCAATGATGAAACAGGTATGATTAGTCGGAATTATTATTATTTTTTCATGGTTGTTTCTTTTTTACTTGATATTTAAATTATATTTCTCAGTTTCAGCCATCAAATTAACCCACTAAAGGTACACGAGGACACCAATGTGCTCCAAAGAAGTTTTTGGATAAATAAACCAGTGATTTGTGCATCTTACATATGGATACCCAATGAAAGACTTCCTAGATGTTATTTCTTTCCTATGAAACAATTGTAGAACATGCCAAAGAATGCTCTGCTAATTTAGTGAAATGGCATTAGGGCTTATTACCCTTCATTTAGCCTAGAGTGTGTTTCATCTGGTATATCGATCGGCTTGGCATTCAAATGGTTTGTGAGACCTCGAATCTTCTTCTGTCATCTTGTGTGAATATCAAGTAAAACCATATAAAACATATAATGGTGTGTGACTATAGCCTGCCAGAAGACAACCAATTCAATCATGAGCTTGACCCGGTGTGTGACTATAGCCTGCCAGAACAAGACATTAGTTGCTGGTCTTGTTAGTTCCTCCACGACCATATAATTCTGTTGCACTATTCACATGGCTGAGGTACATCGCATGTTCTGCAAATAGATTCCAGGGTCAGCACATCCTGGTCCATGATCTTAGTGGATAGAGAGAGAGTGTATATTGTTGAAATGATTTAACTTTTAGCAGCTGATGTATATATTTATGTTTTGTTCTGTCAAACGTTGGTTCGTCAATAACAATATGTACGTCAGAGTGTGAAATTACGATTCCGACCATTTGTTCTTAACCGTGACTCTGGGTTATCTTTGTTCCAGGACCAAGATAAAGGGAACCGACGGACACAGTAGTTATTCTCACAGGACTTGCATCCGAAGATTAGAATGTAGCCCTTACTAACAGCAAAAGAAGGGAACTGCTTTACAAGTATTGGCTCCTCTTGGTAGTTTTGCCCTCAATGTAAACTGATAATGGATCTATCTGTTAATCTTATTTCTGCCATTATCAAACCTTTTTTTTTCTGTTGTTAATTCCAGGCAACTTATTGTATGATGAATAAAATATCAATTTTCAATGGACCGAACACAACTACGTACAATATGCAAAAGTTTATAATGTTTGCCTTTGTATTATTAGTACACACTTTACTCCATGTTTCATGCTAACAGTGTTTAATAATTAAAGCTTAGAACACACATCCCCGTATTTAGTACATAATAGTCACCATCCTAAAGTAATTTTCACCCTTTACTTAGAGAAAATTGATATACCTACGGATTAAAGCCCAAACTTTGCCGAAGTAGAGATGCTGGTAGCATATTTTGACCAAATGGAAATCTTCCAAGAACTTACTGCAGATTGGTGAGGAAGTAATGAGAGAAAGCATTCAAGGATTGAGGAGGCAGACCGATCCTCACGTCAATGCCTATCAAATCATTGGGATTCTGCATGAAATATGCGACTCGAGGCATTGGAGAGAGCAATGGAGACACATAGGCAGCAGAACCATGAAGAAAATCAATGGTGTGCAATGGCATCCTGGTCCAATCAGAGACTAGGGTCAACTCGTTGATCGGAGGGAGACTTCCCTGAGCTCCTCCATCTAATGCCTGGTTATACGCGATCACGTGCTCGTTGCTGATCGAGTTCTTGGCTGCCTTTATCTTCTCCAAGGTAGCTTCATGGCTTCCGTTTTCCAGTTCTTCAGCTGTTAAGGCAACTGAGGCTAGCACAAACGCGTTGCCACTGAAACCTTTTGGCAATTGAGGCACCATCTTGTTCCTTACGTCCACAGCAAATTGCAAGCAAACCATTGCTCCCTTCCTTGCTCCTAAAGCCTTTGTCCTTGCCTAGAGTGTAAATAATTTCAGTAACTGTAAATATATATATATATATATATGAATGCTGAAAATGATCCATCAAAATTGAAATCATTTTACCTTCCATAAGTGAGTTGCAACGAGTTCAAAGGATGAACATGTGAAGCTACCTCTCCTGTCACGAAAGACCTTGCTTTTTAAGCTTTCAATCATTGCACCACTCAAGTGAAATGTCCTGAGAACAAGATTTGAGTTCCCTATATTAGGAAGGTTCCTGCTGCCATCAAAATTTTGAGCAGCCATAGCCTGTTTTATCAACTGATATAGATGATCTATGGCTGCCGCCCTTGTCGCCGAGCTCCCACTTTCAGGCAATTCTGTGAGCCCCTGATGATTACCCACCAACAGTGACCCCCTCATGCATAGGTTTGTAGAGCTGAGTGTTTCTCTTTTCTTTCAGAATTGCAGAATTAGAAGCCCATGCACGCAGAAAATCATAGGTGGCTGGTCCATCAAACAAAAAATGGCTTGTACCAATACCGATTGAGTATCCTCCACACCCAAACCTTGTAACCTACATCATACAATAAGTTGTTCACAGTTGGCTAAATGCACTTCTTTTTATGCAAGGATTATCTGATGACACTCATGAGTCATGACTGTATGTATGTATGTATGTATGTATGTATGTATGTATGTATGTATGTATGTATGTATGTATGTATGTATGTATGTATGTATGTATGTATGTATGTATGTATGTATGTATGTATGTATGTATGTATGTATGTATGTATGTATGTATGTATGTATGTATGTATGTATGTATGTATGTATGTATGTATGTATGTATGTATGTATGTATGTATGTATGTATGTATGTATGTATGTATGTATGTATGTATGTATGTATGTATGTATGTATGTATGTATGTATGTATGTATGTATGTGTGTGTGTGTGTGTGTGTGTGATTGGAAGCATTAAAGAAGTCACTGATTGATGATATATAGTCTTACAAATTGATAAAACCCTAGATTCAAACAGGATTTGTTATTGAAAATTAATATTATCACCTGAGAAACAAGCAAAGGCATCTCCAAGAAGTTCCCTTGAAAAGCAGGCTTGTAAGTCAAACACTCGAAGAATTCATTGTATAACGATCTTAGCACTGGTGACTGCCTCAACTAGAACTGCACCACCATTGTTGCAGCAGAGATTAAGCTTTCCATCACCTTGGTAGTTGGTTCAGGCTCAACCTACCAGCAGCTGGATATCATATCGAAAGAGTCTCCTCCAACCCAGATTTCAAGCTGTTAAACACCGAATCCAGAGACAAATTCCGGTAAGAAAAAGAAGCTTTGTAAAAGAAAACAACGTACATTAACATCAGACACTGCCTATCCAGGTTGGAAAGATGGATAATCTGTTGTGGATGCAACGATTTGGGGTGCACGGTGACGTTCTTAGTAACCCGACAGTGGGATAATTCCCATCAACTTGTTTTCCAGTAGTGACCATGGATGTTTTCTTTGTTACTCTCTATCTCTCTCTCTTCTGTTGTTACAAATTGAAGAGAAATGGTAATGAACAATTATAAAGACGAGGTAGCTCAGGTTCCAAGTAGCCAACCCTATGTGTCTTTATGGATTTATTTATGAATTTTTCTGTGTTGATAAGTTCTTCAATGATATAATGTACAGAATGAAGAATATGGTTTGTAAATCGTAGCCTTTGAATTAATTAATGTTTTTGCATGGTGATGGTAGTGTGTATTTATGTGTATATGAAAACACACCGACTGTATTATCAGGTTCGCACTACCAATGGGTTGACATTTGACAGTAAGTGACCCACTAACCTCCCCCAAACTCTCATAAGAACAACACATGATGGGACCTTTGTGAGCCTTCCAAGAATCTAAATCATAAAACTAAAAAAATGGGGTTTCTGTTATCTCTGTAGCATTCATTTCAAAGCTTGTAGTCTTTGATTTACTCGACTACATAACGTAACTCGGGAAATCAGGTTAGAAAGAAAGTTTATGCAGATATACGATGAAAGCTAATATTGTATATCGATAAATGATTTAGCATATAGAATGAAGATGATGGAAAATAAAACAAAACCCAGGATTCCCCGAATTCAGAGTGCTTTTGTTGGTTTGTTAAAGTTCAATGAGATTCGATCTGTTTGTTTATATCCCCATCTGATAATTGAGATTGGAGTAAGTAAGAAAGAGAGGTCTTCTGGAAGAACAGGTTGGCATGTTTTTGTACGTCTATAACTTTGTATGTATGTGATGTATGTATGAATAGGAAAGCAAGAGCATGCGTATATAAGAAGAGCAAGTTTGTCTGTTGTTGTCTCCACTTTCCCAGCAGGTGGCCTGATTTCCAGGGTTTCTTTTTTATATTCTCCCCCTCTTCTTTTCTTCTACTTTTCTCCTCGTTCACTCTTTTTCTCTTTACAAATTTCTATTTTGTTTTCAGAAACAAATAGTAACCACCTCACCCTGCAATTTATCCGGCCCACCCTGTGTTCAAAGGACTTTTCTTTTTCTCCCAGTGTTTCAATAGAGATACGCATGCATGCATTCATATCTACAGACTACAAAGCTAATAGCCAGTGGTATTCAATAGTTTTATCATTGTTGATATGCCCATGTTGACCCATTTTTCTCTAAATCTTGAAGAAAATGTTATTTAGAGAAATAATCTAAAATTATGAATAAAATGATAATAGTACGAGACGAAAATGGATTATAATGATCTCATCTATATCCGTCGACGTTGAAAACATCCACGTCCATGAATATTTATAATTTATTTTAACATAATTTCGAGATAAATGATTTTTGGTACACGTAAAATGTAAATATATAAAAGACAATATCACATATCAATGATATTAAACATATATACTAAAACTATAAAAGGATAAAAATGAAACAATATCTTCCATTATCCACGTCCACATCTTATAAAAAAAATTATGTAACTCGAGGTATTTCGGGCTCCTTAACCTTAAATATGGATTATAAATTAAATATAAAGTATACAAGGAACATGACATTAGAGCTTAATGTTTCTTTCAGAAGGCTTCCATGCTATATTTGAAAGAGGGGATACCTTACTTTGAGCCTTTTTCTAAAAATAAAAGTTAAAAAATCCCTGTTTCCTCTGAATAATAAAGTAGCAGCAAAAAATTAAAGACTAATTAAGACGAAAGCATGAGAGAAAATATTCTTTTCTTAAGCACTAAACCATGTTCTCCAATGACCACTTGAAAGGTCAACATTCAAAGCAAGGACGGTAAACGAGATGGATTGGATAAACCACACACAAATCCGGTCCAAGGTGAAATTAAAAACGAAAAACTAGGGTTTAAGTATGGAAAACACGACTTTGTCAAATAATACTCATAACCGGTACATTTGTATATGATATCACTTAAATTACAGTATCTAATTTTAAATAAAATTGAGTGTTACAGTAGCTAACATGTAACACCCTTAACCCGTATATGACTCGATATATGAATCTAAGATGTCACATCAACTTGAAAATATTTAATGAACTAAAATTTCCCTAAAAATTTTGTTTCCTTTGAAAACACTCTTATTATAATTTTAAAAATCTATTTTAAAGTATATTTCAACTTATAATTTATTTCTTTATTACAGGAAAATAAAATCATTTGTTAATCAATAATTTTACTAAATCATGTCTTTTCGTAAAATCTTTTAAAATATAATAATGTAATAAATTCTTGTCATGCATAGATACCGATAAAACTAAACTAAAATAGTTCTAGTTTACTATTACAAATTATTTAAAATAAATACGATAAATAGAAACTACTGACATAATTATACATGCCACTATAAGTCAAAAGAAACATCATAGATGTCTTACTGATACTGATGATATGTATGTCTTTCCAGAAAGATGCTCCGATAGCTCTTTACTGATCGTACTTATCCTTATTAGAACCTACGCATGAAAATCATCACATGCTAAGTATAACTTAGTGAGACTAATAATCTAAGGTAAGAAAAAATCTGAAAATATCATGCTTGGGCAGTTCATACCCTAAATCATTCATAAAACTGATATAGAATATTATAAAAATATTCTTTATAAACTTTATAAATCATGTTGTAAATTGGAATGAGGTTGACTTATCGCAAGTCGTCATAGATCAAAATAATTAAATAAATAA